CATCTCATGGCTCTCATCTGAGAGGATGAGTTTTCCGGTCTGCATTCTCTCTCCTCAAGTTTCATCTGTCTGGACTGGCCTTTCCTCATCTCCATCACCTCTGAAGTCATCCTCTGATCTAACATCCACTCTCAGTGTGTGCCACCTCCTGTCCTCTTCCACAGCACCTAGAACTTATGATCTGTACCTGTTGTTTATAAAGGTTTGTTTACCCATCCCTATGCCACCCGACTGAGCTCTTTGAAGTCAGGAATTTCAACTTAGCTTAATTTTGCAACTCCAGGGCTGTGCTTGATGAGCAGATCTCCCATAAATGCTTGCTGAATGAATAAAATTACATGGTTTGGCCCAGTAAGACCAAATGCCAGTTTGGATTCTGGTTCTCGAGCTTTGCTATCTTAACTGTAATAGCAATAAATTCACAATAATGCTGGTTGTGGTGGTGCACACCTGTAGGATTTGCTGAAGGATACAGGAGAATCACAAATTCGAGGCCAGCCTGGGCTACACATTTTTAGCCAGGCATTGATGGTGAATGCCTTTAATCCCAGCACTCGTGAGACACAGGCAGAGGCAGGAGGATCTCTGTGAGTTCGAAGCCAGCCTGGTCTACAGAGCAAGTTCCAGGACAGGCTCTAAAGCAATACAGAAAAACCCTGTCTTGGAAAACCAAAAACAAACAAAAATTCACAGTAACTATAGACCTTGTATCAGGTTGTTGTCATCAGTCATGTTAATTAACCCCCCCAACAGCAGAAACCAATTCCTGAAATTCTACTCTTGAAACTAAACAAGGTATTTAGCTCACTTCCCATCTGAAGCACAAGGATACAATGTGACACTAGCTGCAACACTATAAAACTGTGCCTTTGCCAAGTCAGACTAAGCAAACTATAACAGTTTAACTCATAAAAGTATAGAGTCCCTCAACAATAAGTATCTGTCTAGTATGAACAAGAGGAAAAGGGAAAAACAGTGAGTAGAGGAAAGGAATGATAAACCTCATGAAGGCAGAATACTTTTAAACACAGCTGTCTGAGGTTACTATTAAGGCAACGGGGCAGAACAATAGCACTTCTAAATTGGCACCTTCACATTCAAAGCGAAAATTCAAAAGAAACCTTCCAGGACCCACAAGCACTGCTACTTTTACCATACTTAAAATACCTTCTATTCTTTCCATTTTCTTTCCTTCAGTATTTACTGGGCATCTCTTTGGCTCAGGATGCTATGGAGACATTGATCATGTTGAACATGACTGCTACCAGCCCTGTCCACCTAGAGCTCCTGTTCTAACACAGAAGGCAGACATTCAACTAATTAAAAAAAAAAACAACTACTGAGTAGGACTGTGTTAAACACTCCACCAGAAGACATGAGTATTAAGAGAGTCTATGAAACAGAGTCCACCCCAGGCTTTCTTCTGTACTGAAAATCACCCCTTTCTTGGTACAGAAACCTAACTAGCTCTCTGTGTGCACCGCTCTCAGCGGCTGCTCTGTGCAAGTGCCAGGTTTCCACATACACCTCTCAGATGTACCTCTAGGGACGATAAAGAAATTCAAAGGTTCAAAAGTAATTTTTCCACCAGCTGTTCTAGGGGTATCACTTTTTCCCTCTATATCTTTGCTGGGTTACAGAAGGTCACAGCAGAGAATAAAAACCTCTTTAAGTGTGCTGATTGTTCATCTGGGGGTAGTGTTTTAATTCATGAAGCTGCAAAGCGGGTGTTCTCTGAGGACCACACAGAGAAAGGGCAATGAGAAAGAAAAGATCTCTGTGTGCAACTCACAAGCCAACAAAACTGACCACACAGAATATTCTTTCTTTTGGACACCTCTGATTCAGTCTTTTAAAAATGAACATGGTATGCTACTACCTCCTTCTAATAGAAGAATGTTAAAGTAATACATTTTATTTTATTTTGGGTGTCCCCCCCCAAAAAAAAGGATCATTGTAACTAAAATGGCATCAACAAACTATTTTAGTGAATGAATGTTAGAGCACTTGCTAAATTGACCTTTGTTTTACAGAATGATAGGAAACATGCTGTCAGATACAAGAACTGAATCAGATAAGGGAGGAGAGGATCGCCACAGAAAAACACATTGAAATGTCTAATAAAGAAGGACTCTGGTCTAGCAGAAAATATAAACCTAGAGAAGGCTGTAAGGAAAACAAGGTTCACTAAATAAATGCTACTGCTATTTTATAGACTTGTCTGAATGTCTGGCTCTGGTAAGAAAATACTTTATCTGCCAATCTTTATATTGTACAGCATAGATACTAAAATAAAAGAGGGGGGAGCTGACCACACAGCAGGAGGTAGTAATAGCCTTCTGAAACACAAGTTATAAGGCTCTGACCCAAGTTAGGCTCTGGAACTTCCTTCCCAATTACAGTGTTAAGACAAGTCCCCACCTCAATTAAGAATAGTATGGTCCAACGCTAATCCCTCCCCCACCCCACCCCACCACCACCACCACCAGATATTCATTCTTTGCACTAATGTTTGCTGGATGCCAACTGTGCAGTGTAGCAGTATGCTTTGGCCATGCCTCATCACTGGACATTCTATTCTATTCTATTCTAATCCATTCTAAAGGCACATTAATTTCATAAAGGAACAGACTGGACCGAGGAAAGGCTTAGCAAAGATGAAACACTAAAGCCCATTATTTTAGGCTAAGATGGCTAGATGGCCAGTAGTTCCCTGGTGGGAGTACTAAATCAGGGTGAAAACCATCATTATTTCTTGGGGGCTCATTACGTACCAGACTCTTTTCAACCATCTTCAATCGGCTAAGCATGACAGAAACTCGCACTTGGGCTAACAACCTAAAAGAAGCTGAGTGGGGTTCCAACGACTCGCCTGAAGCCAAACAGAAACTTGACTTTGGCATCGGGTTTCTATGTACTCGAAAGCCCGCGCGCTCTTTGCACCACACAGTTCCTTCTAGTGCACAGTATCTCAAGCAGCAGCGCCAGCGCCAGCGCCAGCGCCAAAAGCCACAGTGGAAGCCTCTTTCCAGGGGCAGGGTGGAGCGCATCTGCATCAAGGCCTGGAGAAGTCACTACCCTCCCTTAGCATCCGCCACAGGACCATCCCGATCTCTGAAGTTGTAAGCGCTGACAGGCAGATGAGAAGTTCATTCAAACGAAGACCAACAGAAGGACACATAAGGGAACGACACCCTCTCTAGAAGAGGCTGAAAAGGCACAGCGGTGACAAGTAATAAGGAAAAGGTGAGAAAGGAATTCTCTCTCCCGGTGCTCTAAGGAGAAGACAGGCTCTCGAGGGGTGCGGAGACCCGGCGGCGGGCCTAGGATGAT